ATGGCTGAATGGCTGAATGGCTGAATGGCTGAATGGTGGAGAATGGATGGATGGAAGGAGGGGTAAGCAGATGGATGAATAAATAGATGGAGGATAAATGGATAGAGATAGATGGACGGTGGGTGGGTGGAAGAGGGGTCCTTGGAAGGTGGGGCCATGTAGGAATTAAGAGTATAAACTCTGGAAACAGAGAGGCCTGAGCTCTAATCCCAGCTCCTCCTTTCTTTTCTGCTGGTGAAGCCTCAGTAAGAGAGGAAATGACTGCATCTGCCTTGTCAGGATGTTATGAGGGTCTAAAAAAGGAACGCCCAGGACACATAGTAAATAATAGATGTTATAATTGAAGGGGGGGCTGCTGGGGGTCTGAGCGGAGGGAAAGACAGACACTGATGTGGCCTGGCCACGCTGCCCCTCCCCCTCCAAACCCCCTCTCGTCTTCCGAAGGCCCAGGGGGGACCTGTTACAGGAGTGAGGCGTTTTAAATGTGTATCTCAGTGCTTGTCTCATCTCCTGTGGCTCATCGGAGCCTTAGGGGCAGGGAGAGAGGTAGGGCAGGAATCTCTCATCTACAGATGTGGAAACGGAGGCTCAGAGGGGTCACGTCCCCTGTTTAAGGTCACGCGATGGTGTGAGGTGGCAGCTTGAAGTCACCTGGGTTTCAGGCAGGCATGTCCCTGTGCTGGGCCACACACCCCCCCCTTCCCCTGCCAACCTCGTCCTCTCCATCCTTTTCCCACCATCATTTCCCCACATCCTGCTGGTCCTGACGCAGACCAAGGGCCCTGGGCCACAGGTTCTTATGCCTCCCAACCAGGCACAGCCCCAGGACACACACCGAAGACCGGAATTCCCGCTGCATCTTTGTTTGAGGAGAAATACTTTGGGTTTGAGTCACTGGCACTGAAAAAAGCCTAAAACCCCCAGCTGGCCACATCCGGCAGCTTCTGCTCCCAGCTTTGGGCTTTGGGATGGGGGTGGGGCTGAGGCTGTGTTGACCACACTGCTGGTGGGGGTGGTTGCAGGGCATAGAAAGCCCCTACCGTCCACCGGGGTGACTCAGCTAAACTCGCAGGACGATGAGGAAGGCTAAATAATCATCACCACTGTCCCCTGCTATGTTTGGGCGCCCACCAGGTGCCAGACCCAAGCCGCATCATCTCCTTCAGGGCTCAGAATAGCACAGTGGAGAGTAGTGGGGACTGTTAATCTCCCCATTTCAGAGATGAGAACACTGAGGCTTGGAGCTTGAACAAGGTCTGGGGGAGCTGGGACTCGAACCCAGGCCTGTCTGAGCTCAAAGCTCATCTCTGCTCTTTGTACTGCCAAGAGCCCCGGGATGCTGGGCATACAGGCTGACCCTACCCCCTGGGGGCTGGCTTTCGGGCTGGGAAGACAAGCAGCGAGCGAAGGTCGTGTGCCCTGACGCCAGTCCACATGGGTTGGCGCTGGTGCAGCCACTATGTCCGAGGGACAATTCTTCCTGATTCATATGGGGGGTCATTAAGGCCCAGAGAAGCCCAGAGAGTCAGGGCAGGCCATGGAGCAGGGGATAAAAAAACATGTGGGTGAAATTGATCAACTGGAGTCGACCCCAAGCTCTGCCATTTGCCAGTAGGTAACTTTGGCCGAGGGACTTACTCCTTCTGAGCCTCAGTGTGCCCATCTGTCAAATGGGCACAAGAATAGTCTCTCCCTCATGTAGCATTGTAGGATCACCTAGGTGAAGCCCTCAGTCTGTGCCTGGCACCTAGTGGGTGCCCAGCAGGTACAATTATTCTATAACTGCTTGATGCCAGGAGGGGAGACAGCTGGTAGACACTGGCTCTTTGGTCTCCTGCCCTCAGCGGTGGGCAGGCTCCCTCTCTAGTAGAAGCAGCCTTTCTCTGGAGCCCAGAATCATGACTGGCTGTTGGTGTGACGTTATGATAATCCTATCACCTCTCTGAGCCTCCGTTTCCTCATCTGTAAAATGGGTTGGCAATGAGGACTAGGAATAGTGGATGTGTCTTGCTAGCCTGCTGGCAGGCGCAGAGCAGGTGCTCAAGACATGGCAGCTACAAGAGTGTCCCGCCCCTGCCTGCCACTCACGGTCCAGAGGTGACGATGAGGCTGCGCACTCGGTCGAAGCCGCGGTCTCCCAGGTTCAAGCACTCCCCGGAGAATTCCACCCGGTGGCCCTGGAAGTTCTCCCGCTCAAAGACCACCAGCTGGAGGAGAGAAGCCCCCAGCCCGGGGCGGGGGTGGGGTGGGGCCGAGTGAGTGGGGAGGGGAGTCATGAAGTCCCCATAGACGTGGAAGCAGGCCCCGAGCAGGTCTCATGAGAGTGTGGCTGGATCCCAGGTCTGTGAAATGACTCAGCTGTCCCTCCTCCCACCACCATTAGCAGCTGAGGGTCCTCCTTCAAGGCCTTTATCTGTGCTGTCCCTTCCGCCTGGAACGCCCTCTCCACCACACCCCCCCATCCCGGAGCTCACATTCCCTGTCCTGTTTCAGGCTCAGGCATTACCTCCTCCTCCGGGAAGCCTTCCCGGATGCCCTCCCCTTAGGTGGGCTTGGCTAGGTGCCCCCTCACTGTGCTCCCTCCATCAGCGGTACCAGGAACACACAATACAATGACACTGCTTCCTGTGTCTCTCTCTATGCACCGTCTCCCTCTTTCCTCAAACCCCCCCCCCCAAAGTCCAAGGGTATCTCCAGGGCAAGATGTGGGTTAGTCCATTTCTGTATCTCCAACTCCAGCGGGACCTGCCACAGAGCTGATGCCCAGGAAACACGGGCCCGTCTCCCTGGCACAACGTAGGGGGGCCCGGAAGCAGGCCCCCCACCATGTGAACATCGGCGACTCCCCTCCCCTCACCCAGCCCCCAGTTTTGTTTATTATCCACTTGTTGCCCCAAGTGGGCCATTCCCTTGAACGAAGACAAGTGTCTTTTTTCTCGGAGCCTCAGTTTCCCCAGTTGTAAAGGGAGGAGGCTCTCGTACCCTTGACTTAGCACTTGTCCACCCGAGAGAAACTCCTGCTGCAGGATACCCAGATAAGAGCATCCTGTCCATGCCGCTTCCCGGAGGAGAGCTAGCAGCCACCCGGATGGCTCCCGGGAGTGACAGCCACACTGAATTACACCCGGCGGCCAAACCAACAACCGCAGCAACGTACAGCCATACGGACGGCTGTACAGGAACCTCAGAGTGAGCGCAAAGCAGAGAGAAAACCCCAGGATGAACACATACGGCCTATTTCAGTGAGTGACCAACACATAACCATCAACAAATGTTTTAAAGGAATAACGCCTCAAAATACACAAAGAAGCGAGCAAGCACAGGACGGACAGGGACCCGAGCAGGGCAGGAGGGCAGTGGGCTGGCTCCCGGGGGACATGGAAGAGTTAGCGGATGTTTACAAGGTCCCGGCTTTCAAGACGGGTGGTGGGTGTGTCGGTGTGTGTGTTTAAAAATGAAATAAAAATGTACGACTTGGTAAGTCACTGCGGTAAAAGCCGGCCATGCGCAGACCACATGAGAGGGTGGCATGGACCACGCACCAAGGTGGTGAACCCGTTCTGTGCACCTGACATCGAAACCAAACCCGACCAACCCCGGGGGACCGGTGCCGGCCCGGCTGCCTGGGACCCTTTTCAGGAGGGTCTGAGGCCGTCCCGGGGCCCTAGAGAACCTCCGGGGACAGGGGTTCCCGCTGCTGAGCCAGCCCACGTGTCCCCTTGTTTCGTTTCTTGCTTTCACCAACGCTAGACACGTGCTTGTGTGGGTCAGAGACTGGCAGGAGGAGGGGAGGAGGTGGGGGGGGGGGGGGAAGCACGGGGGGGAGACCAGAAACCCCAGACACCCCAGCCCCAGGTCCTTACCCGGTAGCTCCCAGGGGCCAGGTGCCCCACTGTGGCGGTGGGCATGGGCACAGATGCTGGGGCCAGGGCGGGGCGGGGCCCCCTTCCCCTTGCTCTCGGGTGCTATGGAGGCCTCGGCAGCTGAGACATGGCTCCCACCTGCCAACGCCTGTAAAGAAACCTCTGACCTTGGTGAATGCCGGGCGGGCACCCCCAAGCCGCCTCCCCACTCACCTACCACCCCCTCCACCCTGTGTTTTCAGGCTGCATTCAAGTCATTTCTGCCTTTTCTCTTTCTAAAATGTGAGCCTGGACGGGTTCTGGCCTGACCTCCCGCCCCAGGCAAGGCTGTCCTGACTGGGCACCTCGCACCCCTGATATGCCTCCTCCAGGCCTCGAATGGGGCTGGTCCCTCCACCAGCCGTGCCCTTCCTTCTACCCCGATCTCCTCGACACCTGTGGGTTTTCGCACTTATCACACTTCTTGGAGTGTGCAGCTTCAAGCTGCCTCACCAGGTGAATAACAGGAAGCCACATTGGGGAGGCCTGCAGCTCTGCCAGCAGCTCTGCTGTATGTGGTAATGAGCTCATCTGTTCTTCCCCCTCCCTCCCTGCCCCCCTCCCCCCCAGCAGGTGCTATCTTTCCCCCCTCTGAGCACTCTGCGGCCCAGAGAGGGAAGGGGACCGGCCCAAGCCCACACAGCCACGACATGGTGGGACTCCCCTTTGAGCTCAAGCACAGGGATCCAGCAACAGGGTTACGAAATGCTCTGTCGTTTATCTGATTTATTCTCCCCTCCGTCCCCAGCACGGGGCTGAGCCCCTGGCCGGCGCGAGGTTCTCTTCGAACATCTGTTCAGAGAATGAATGACTGCACGTTCTTGCCTCCCTTCCCAGGCAAACTGCGGCCTCAGGCATTCTCTGGGAATGCTGTGTGTGGGTGCAGGCTGGGGCCTGGGGCTGGGGAAGAGGGAGGCCCCTGGAGGGTGTCTTTAGTGCCTGCGGGGTTCTAAAAGGAGGCTTGTGGTGCGGAGGCGGTGGGTGGAGAGCGCTCTGGTCAATTGCAGTGGTTCCTTGCTGTTTTGGGGTCATGAGTTTTGACAAATGCCTTGTCCTTGTCCCGGGGGGCGGGGGGGGGAGAGCGCCCCCCTTTAATTTTAGAGACAATGTCCAGGGATTTGAGGACAGCCTGACAACGTAGATTGAGACCCTGGGGTCCAGTGGATTGCAGATCGCTCCCCCCTGCCCCCCGCAAGGGGTACGCTGCCCACCGTGGGCAGGCCAGACATCTGGGCCACATCTGTGGCTTCCAGGCTCCGGCCTACTCCCCTGTGTCATCTGTGAATCAACAGTCCCTGGGCTGGGAGTTGGACTCATTCCTCCCTGGAGATACATTCCTGTCCATTTCCTACCTCACTGTCCCCGGGTCCCTCCCCTCTGGGTTCTTGCTTTCTTTGTATCTGTGCCTAGCCCTCTGTTCTCTATTACTGCATTTTCTTCTCTCTCTTCTCCTCCCTCCCGCTCTCCCCTTCCCTTAATTTCTCTCTCTCTCTCTCTCTCTCCTAGGACTGCTCTCTCTGCCTCCTTCCCTCTCGGCCTCCTCTCTCTTCTCCCCTCAGCTCTCAGCAGGGTGGTGGGTTCCCTCGTACCTGGGGACCTGCTACCCCCTGCTGCGGGACAGGCAGCTGGGTGGTGGGTGCTGCGGGCCCCTCGGGGCAGACCCCCCATTTTATAGTCTGGCAGACAGCGGGCCTATGGTCTGGGGCACAAAGAGGGAGCTGGCTCAGCAGGCCCCGGGCACTGAGCTGGGGCCTGAGGCTGCAACCTCGCCTGGGTGACTGCGGAGAGAAGCACTTTCCATTGTGAGCCCAGCACGCGGGCAGAACCCTGATCAGCAGGGGTGTCACCTGGTCCTACACTGATGCCCCGTGCTAAAGCCCTCGCCCGGTGGGCCCCGCTGGCTGCCAACCCTCAGGCAGGGAAAAGGGGAGCCCCTGGAAGGTGGGAGACCAGGACCTGAATCCTGGCTCAGCCACAAGGTGGCTTTCAGCGGGTCTCTGGTCTCTGGAACCTCTGTGACCACAGGGACAAGCAGGCACAGTGTCCCTGCTGGATGCTGAACAGGAAAGAAGGCGATGATGACGCAGGCGATGGGAGATGCCTTGTAAGGTGGATACGGGTACAAGAGCCACAGCCCCCTCACCGAGAGCTTGCTGGGTGCTAAACGCAGCCCCAAACGCCTTTCCCCGCGCCACCTTGGTCAATGCTCAGGACAGTGCACCTTACTTGGTACTTTCATTATACCCATTTCACAGATGAGCAAGGCGAGGGCACAGAGAGGGCAGAGCCAGGAAGCAGCCCAGGCAGGGGGGCCTGCAGGCTTCATTCTCATGATGTCTGACCTGGGCCCTGGCTTGATTTCCTGCTTCTAGACAGAGGGCGATTGCGGGGGGGGGGGGGGGCCAAGGAGAAAGAGAGGGGTAGAGACAGGGTCAGGACAATGGGACAGTTACCAGAAGTCATAGCGTCCGCTTCCCTCATTTCACAGATGGAGAAACCAAACCCATGGAGAACAAGTGACTTCAACAAAGTGGCCTGGTGTGACTCACAGAGGAACTGCTGAGCCAGGCCAGCCTGCTGTCTCGCCCCCAGCCCCATATGGGCCTGGGGGAGAGGGGCTTTCCCGGGGTCTTGCCCCCCCTGCAGAGGCCCCGGGACCCACATTCCCCTTGGAGCCCAGCTCTGCCTTGAGATCACGGTGGCCTTGGGTCCGCTCGGCTCTCCCCCTCCCCCCTGCACCCCCTCTGTCCCAGGTGCTTCCTCCGTCTTTCATCCTGGGCCAAGGCCGGGGCGGGGGGGGGGGGGGGGGGGGGGGGGGCGCAGGCAGGAACCACAGGATAGAACAGCCACTGGAACGGGGCCAAGACACATGGGTGGTGGGGGCCACCCACAGCTTTGGGCTTCAAGGCCAGGCTGTCTGGCACGGTTCCCTGTCTCCCGTGGCGATGGGGCTGCCTGCCAGGGGGTGGGCGCAGAGGTAGGGGGTTGGCCCCCCATGCCCGGGGGCTCCATCCTGAGCACTTTCCTGACGTGGCTTCTGGAATCCTCACTGCGATGCCGGGGTCTCTGGGATCCGTCCTGTTTGCAGACGGGGAAACCGAGGTAGCTCGCTCTCCCCGCTCTCTCAGCCTCTTGGCTCATCTGTACAAGGGAATGGGGAAGCCATGTCTCTTTAACTCCTGGACTAAAGTTCTGAAAACCATGCACTTTCGGTTTTCTATGAGTAACGACTTCATCACGATCATGTTGATTATTCGCAGTGATGAGGATGACAATGATGATGGAGGTGCAGAGTACTTCTTAGGTTCCAATTGCGGCTCATGTGTATTTCACGTTTCCCCTCACTATACCGCTCTCTGAGGCGAAACCAAGTTACTTTGTTGCACCCATTTTACAGACGAGGAAACTGAGGCTCGGAGGGATTAAGGAACACGCTCAAGGTTTCCCAGCCAGCAAGAGGGGGATGAAAGCCAGGCAGCCTGGCTGCGTTCTCGGCCTTTTATCTTTAAGGCCACCCTTCATCCGAGTCACGCACTTGATGGGGCTGCTTTTAATGGAACCCTCCCAGGGAGACACATGTTGCCACTTTGTAGGCCCCTGGCTGAGGTCAGACACCCACCAGGTCACCCAGCTGTTCAGAGGCAGGACTGGATTCACCCAGGGTGGGCTGGTCTCTGCCATGCTCTTCCCGGCGCTGTGACAGGCCCCTTTTAGGTCACATCAGAGTGTGGGAAGAAGGTGAACAAAGCAAATTCTACAAACCCTGGCTATCGGGCGGGTGCGCTACGGTTTGCAAGGCGTGTTCGCACCTACCAGCTCCTTCATCCCGTCCGCAGAGCCACCTGAACTTCTCTCTGGGCTCTGTGGACCCTGGAGGCCCTGGCCCGGCCCACCTTTCCTGCCTGGCTCCCGTTGCTCCCGTTCAGGGTCCCTGAGCTCCAGCCCAGTCGGGCTACCAGCTCTTTCTCACACACTGGCTTAGAAAAGTATTTTCTTCCATCTCACTTTGTGCACATCCTCCTCACCCTTCAGAGTCTAGTTTCAATGCCGCCTCCAACAGGAAGCCTGCCCTGATTGCCCCTTCTGCAAGAGGAAAGGAGAAAGGTATGGGCATTTGTTGAATGTATATTGTGGTAGGCATGTGACATAACATCACAACACCCCGGTGATGTAGTTTATTCGTGTCCTGTTTTATAGTCAGAAACGGAGGAGAAATGACCTGCTGCAGGTCACACGGCTAGGAAGGACCAGGTTTTGGGACTCCTTGTCCAGTGTTCATTCTCCTGCTCCAATCAGGGGTCCTATGGCGCCGATGAAGGCTGGCCTTCCTCCGCGTGCCTTCTTTGTGGCTGATCCCTGAGGGAGGCCACCTGCCCCTCTCCCTCCCAGCCAGTGGTGCTGACACCTCTCCACTGGGGCTTCAGCCAGGACTGCCTTTTGTGCTTGCTGCTCCCTTGCTGAGTCGGGGCCTCGTGTCCCGGAGGCCCTCTCCCCTCCCTGCCGATAAGAGCCCGACCTCGGCTGGTCCCAGGCCTGGCGTGTTCTGTGGGTCCGTCTCGGTAAGTCCCAGGCCCGGAGAAGGAGTGGCATTCGAGCTCTGAGTGAGTATCCTGGGAGGAAGGGGAGGCCAGGTCCTCAATCCTGGAGACATCACGGCGCCATCCTGCCTGTCTTTCTCCTCCTAATCCCGGCCGGGCCCCAGGCATCAAGCCTAGTACCTGCTCCCCTCGCTGGAAACAAAATTATTCCTGGAGTCCTTGCTTCAGTGTCCACCGTTCGAGTCCCCTGTGTGGGTCAAAGTGCTGTCTTAGGGAGGCTCTTGTAAGCTGGGCACCTTGGCACTTGCCAGGGGGATGGGTTCACCCCTTGCCAGCCACATAAATCTCCCAAATGGGGCTCAGAGGCGATGGGACCCAGAGCGGGGGTGGGGGCTTTGAGACGATGATGGGGAGGAAGCACAGGAGAAGGGATTGGCCACAGATGGAAAGGGAAGGAGAGGGCGGGGCCGAAGCTGCCCTTTGCCCCCAGCGCAGGCACATCTGGACCCCTCTGGATCCCCATCCGGCTCCATCTCGACGTCGTTGTCAAGGAGACAGCAGCGTCGGGGCTGGAGTTGTCATGTTCTTCTCTTGGGCAGGAAGAGGGCAACACAACCCTGCAATGCACCAAGCCCGCGGGGCACTGGAAGGTAGGAAGAGGCACGGGGGTGTCTGGGAAGTGGGGGCACAGGTCCAGGAGAACCCCCATCCCCACCTCCATTGAATCCCCACTTCACCCCGTAGGGGGGGGGGTTGGTGTTGTGAGGGCTCATGTCACAGCGGATGGAACCGATGCTCAAAGAGGAGAAGGGACTTGCTCAAGGTCACACACAGGGCCTTGAACTGAACTGGGGTCTTCCGGTCCCCGAATTTAACCCCGACACTCCCCGGCAGAGATGGCGAGCCGGTGATTGCACAGTCTTCGGCATTATTTCTTTGACCTCCCCTATGTTTTGTTTGTTTTTTTTAAACCGAACCTTTACATTTGTCATCTGCTTTAAAAATTTTGGAGGGTCCATGGAGAAGTCCCGATTTAGTGATTGTTCAGAGATGGGAAAGTCGGCCTGCATTCCCAGGTAGCAACAATAGGAGGCGCTGTGCAGAGGCCAAGCATTTACACGGGGCCTTCGCCGCCTTCCCTGCCTGGCACCTGGAGAGGCATCTGAGTTTGCAATCCCCGCTCTCTCTGTCCCGCCCCATTGTGAGTCCTGGGGGGGAGCCCCTAACCCTTCACCCCTTCACCCCCACGGGCTCCCCTTTTCTCTCTGCCGCAGATTGCGGTGTGGGACCAGGAGGGCTTCCAGGGCCGGCGGTAGGAGTTGGCCGCCCAGTGCCCCAGCGCGCTGGAGCTGGGCTTTGAGGCCGTGCGGTCTCTCAAAGTGCTGAGTGGAGCGTGAGTTGGGAAGGGGACGGGCTCTGAGCCAGGGAGAGGGAGGCAGGAGGGGATCTAGCCAGGGGGGCTGGGACTTTTAGAGGTTTCAGGCCCTGTCCCCAGGCCCTAACTTCCCAATGGGGCTGACGTGCTGGGGTAGGTTGAGTACCGCCCAGATGTAGGGGGTGCCACTCACATAGATCCTGCCCACTGCATGAGACACACGGCGGGGGCTGACCTTGAGAATGGAGCGCAGGGACTGAAAAACCCCTCTTAGGCATAAATCTACAAGCAACATCATTTGCCCCAAATGGAAGGTAACTATAAAAACATAGTAAAAAAAAATGCTATTAATCTTTAGCGGAACATTGTTGCCTGACTGCGGCTGGGAGCATGAGCTATGTGTCTGTTTTTTTCTAAAGAGAGATTGACGAGATGTACAAAGGCGTTAAGGACACCCCGATACCGCGACAATGAGCCTGTTCAGACCAGCACCATCCAGTGGGACGTGCTGTCGTGATCAAAATAGCGGACATCTGCAGCCGGTTTGGGAACCACGGGCCGCACATGGCCGCGGAGGGCTGGGAATGAAGCTACCGGGATCAAAGACCTGAAGCTTTGATTTGGCTAAATGTATGTTTAATTGGCAACATGTGGCTAATGGCTACCATGTTGGTCAGAAGTTCCTAGAAGGCTGGGAAGTAGACGGAAAGGAGTCATTTCATGCTGTGCCTGTGAGTGCCACCGAAGGCCACGCTGAGTGGCATTTTTGCATCTCACACCACGGTAAACACTTTCAGTAGAACATTCTGCTCCGAGCAGGTGGGGGCCTGGGGCTCAGACGGGAGCAGTGACCTGGGCAGGGATATGGCCAGCAGGCCAACAGATTGGGCCGGTGAGAAGGCAACAGGCTCGGGTGGACTCCGGCAATGCATCCCTTACATACACAGCCAGGGCGGGGCCAGCTCGGTGTCAGCCTCCTGGGCCCCTTGTCCCAGAGGACGACGCCAAAAACAACGGGCCCTATGCAAACACCCTCCGCTCCCTCCTCCTGGGATCACGACTAAAAATGCCTCCTGACTTTGCTGAATGCCTCCCCGGGGCCAGAGTCCCCCCTGCAGGACAACCCTGGGTCTAGAACTCCGGGGAGGGGGGCTCTGAGCTCTTGCGCTCTGTCTGTCTGCAGGTGGGTGGGCTTTGAGCGCCCTGGCTTCCAAGGGCAGCAGTACGTGCTGGAGCGGGGCGAGTACCCGTGCTGGGGCGCAGGGAGCAGCCACACGGCTGAGAGGCTCACCTCCTTCCGGCCTGTGGCCTGTGCTGTGCGTCCTGCTCCCCCTCCTCCCAGGGGGCCCCCTCCGAGCTCCTCCAGTGGGGGCTTGGGAACCTTGGGAACCGGATGTCCCAGAGTTCAGTGTCTCAGGTCCCTTCTTCAAACTGTGGGATGTGGCAGTCCCTCCCCTCTCTGAGCCTCATTTTTGTTTTTTTCATCTTGCAACGGGGCCCTAGGACTTCTGTTGTGGGAGGAGGAATGTTCAGCATCTGGCCAGAAGCCGCCACAAACATTCCATCCATGGCCGCTTTGTTTATGACCTGAGTCTTCTTCTTCTTCTTTTTTTTTTTAAAATGTTTTATTGATTTTTTAACAGAGAGGAAGGGAGAGGGATAGAGAGTTAGAAACATCGATCAGCTGCCTCCTGCACACCCCCTACTGGGGATGTGCCCGAAACCAAGGTACATGCCCTTGACCGGATTCGAACCTGGGACCTTTCAGTCTGCAGGCCGACGCTCTATCCACTGAGCCAAACCGGTCGGGGCGACCTGAGTCTTCTTTTTAGGACTCAGGGATGCTGGGACGAGCCGGGTGGGGAGGTGGCAGGGCCAGGTGGGGAGGACGGGCCTGGCTTCCTCCTCCTGGTTTTCTGCTTTTCCTGCTGGTTATGGGGTATGGGTGCAGGTGGCCATTATTGCCCCCATTTTCCAGATGAGAAAAAAGGAGGCTCTGAAAGGTGTAATTTTTTTGTTCTTCAAAAGCAACGTTTATCAATTTACAATCACACAAGCCACACCTATTGATCGTCTCAAATTCAGGAAAAACCCTGAGATGGCAGAATAAGAAAATCAAAATCACTCACACCCATACCTCTGAGGTGGATGCCCACAGTTTACAGTGCTCGGCACTTCACTACCTTTATCTATATATCTACCCACACATAGCATTTTGTTATAAAAACTGAGTCATAACAAACCAAAGGCTGGGAAACCAGCTTTTCTCATGGGCAAATATAGCACAGGGATCCTCCCGGGTGATTCGATCTAACTTATAACATCCTGTCCCAGGGCGCCCTAGGATTCCATTTTGCAAATAGGATCATTTGTCCGTTCATTCCTCGAACGGCCCAGGCCTTGTGTCACGACAGGGACCCATGGTGGACTCTGGCAGATGCAAACCCCGCTTTCACACAGTGTGCAACTTCGGGTCTCATTTACTCCCCAGAAACAACCCTGAAAAGCAGATGTGGTTAGTTTCCGTTTATGGGTTTGGAAACGGGCTCAGAAATGCTGTGTGACATGTCTAAGTTCAGTCAGCTGGTAAGCGGGGAGCCGGATTCGAACCCAGACCTCGGCAAGTCACAGCCCAACACACCAGTTTAGCTCCTAACCCCTATTGTTGGGTATTCAAGTTGTCTTCCCTTTTTTCTTTTTCCTTCCTCCCTTCCTCCCTTCCTTCTTTCCTTCCTTCCTTCCTTCCTTCCTTCCTTCCTTCCTTCCTTGCTTCCTTCCTTCCTTCCTTGTCTTTCTTCTTTCCTTCCTACTATTATCACCAAGACTTATTTATTCCATGATTATTTTTGTGCAAATTTCTGAAAGGGCAAATGGAATACTTCCTGTAAGGTTTCTGGAGCCTGTTGCCTTATTGCCCTGTTATCACCAAGACTTATTTATTCCATGATTATTTTTTGTGCAAATTTCTGAAAGGGCAAATGGAATACCTCCTGTAAGGTTTCTGGAGCCTGTTGCCTTATTGCCCTTTCAAAAGAGTTGCGAGAGAGACTGATTTGGAGACAAGGGTGGGGGCGGGGTGGGCAGAGGAGGCACCCAGCTGTGCGCTGGAGGGTCTGACCCTGTGCCCTGTGCCTGCAGAACCACCGGGACTCGAGGCTGACCATCTTTGAGCAAGAGAACTTCCTGGGCAGGAAAGGAGAGCTGAGTGATGACTATGCCTCCCTCCAGGCCCTGGGATGGGATGGCAAAGAAGTGGGCTCCTTCCACGTCCAGTCGGGGGCGTAAGTGCATCCCAAGCTCTGCCTGGCAGGGACGGCGAGGGTGTTGGGAGGGTTAGGGACACCTCCTGGGACAACCATGGATCTCTGGTCTTTGTCCCCACCCCGGGGCCTCTCTAGGGTAACAATCTGCCCTTTCCCCTCCTCAGCTGGGTTTGTTGCCAGTTCCCCGGCTCCCGGGGTTTTCAGTACGTGCTGGAGTGCGACCACCACTCAGGCGACTACAAGCGTTTTCGAGAGTGGGGCCCGCATGCCCAGACCTCCCAGGTGCAGGATCCAGCAGTGAGCAGCCCGCCCCCCCCCCCAGCCCCGGGCTAAGCAGGGGGACCCGTGCTGAGCTGGCAGGGGGGTGGGGGAACCCGCACTTGTCTGGACCAGAGGAGCCTGGAAGCTGTCACCTGCTCTTTTCTCCGCTCCCAGCCCCTGCGATCCCGAGTGAACCTAGCCCCCATGTGAGCCAGTCCATGCACGCATAGTCAGCACGAAAAACTAAAATAAAAAAGTAATCAAAAAGGTCCGGGGTTAGCTCGTGCTCTTCAATTTTATGAATCCTTTGAAAGCCCCGATTTTTAGCTTTGTTAATTGCCTCTGTCATCTGTCTGTGTTTTCGTTCACTGAGATTTGCTCTTTAGTATTCCTTTTTCCTTCTATCGACTCCGGGCTTACTTTAGTTTTTGTTTTTACTAGATTTAAAAAAAAATTATTGATTGATTTTTAGAGTGAGAGGAAGAGAGAGAGAGAGAGAGAGAGAGAGAGAGAAACATCGATGTGAGCGAGAAATCTTGATCCGCTGCCTCCTGCATGCCCCCTACTGGGGATGAAGCCACAATACCAGGAATATAGTTGGCAACCTTTCAGGGCAGGGGCTGATGCCCAACCAACGGAGCCACACCGGCCAGGCTATAGATTACCTCTAACGTCATAAGCCATCTGGCTCCTTTTCCTCACTCCCTTCCTCTACCACAGTGAGTCTCGTAGAGACAGGAAGGGTGGGGTCCTGAACAGCCTGCCCCTGCTAGAAAAGATAACCTTATCTGGCTCAGGAAAGGGAGGGATGTGTTTAGGAACATTTGCACTTAATTGTTAACTCCCCATTGTATCGTCCCATTCATTCAAATGATCCTATCTGCCCAGGACCCACTGAGCACCAAGCCCTGGGAAGTGGTGAGCAAGACGCATAAAGTCCTTCCCCCACCCAGTCAGATGGGGAAGGCAGATATGTCTGTGGTGGATGGCAACACAGAGCTGTGGGGGAGGGAGCGTGGGGGCTGTAGGGCTGCGAGAGATAAGAATGGGCCTGGGAGCCCGGCCAGTGTGGCTCAGTGGTTGAGCGTTGACCCACGAACCAGGAGGTCACAGTTCCATTCCCAGTCAGGGCACATACATGCCCGGGTTGTAGGCTCGATCCCCAGTACGGGGCATGCAGGAGGCAGCGTATCGATGAGTCTCTCTCATCATTGATGTTTCGGTCTCTCTTTCCCTCTCCCTTCCTCTCTCTGAAATTAATAATAATAATAATAATAATAATAAAAAGAATGGGAGAGGCAGGGAGGCCGATTCTCCCTGGTGTTTTTCTCACTATGGGTTGAATAAGGTGTTGGAAGAGCATTAAAGAGATAATGGGGAAAATGCTGGGTTCATGCTCTCCTTTTAAAGAATTAAGAAAGTAGCCCCTCACACTTTAGTCTGAATAAAGGAGGAGCATCTCACCTATCATAGGAAAGCCTTGGATCCCTGGGAACAAAGCAGGCAATATTTTCTGAATGAACGAATGAATGAACAAATGAATGAACAAATGAAGGAGGGGGCCTCATCGAAATTGGATGGCGGCCTTATTAAGGGCCAGCCGCAGTGAGAGCCAGAGTGAGGCTGGCAGCCATAAAAAATGGGACCCCAGATGTGTGCTGATGGCTGGAGTGACAGGCAATAAAAAGATGATTTGTCAGGGGCGATTTCGGGAGGGGAGGAAAGAGAGCGTGAAATTATTTTTTATATCTTGCCAGGAGACCAATTTTCCTGGGTTATAAAGGAAAGGGAACTTGAATTATTGATGGGATTTGTCCAGAAGTAAGTGGTAAGCACGGAACACCCATCATCCAGAACATTGCCCTCAGCCAACAGGACCGATCACAGGGGCCGGGCTGTCAACCCTGAACCAGCGTCCCCTTGGCCCAGAGGGGGCAAGGCACTTGCTCAAGGCCACACAGCAAACATGATCCATGCTGCGGCTGCTTCCAGCCTCGTCGCCCAGCTACTCACTCACTCGTGGCAGGGATGGCGACGACTATTTGAAGTCGCACACTCACCTGGGTCTGAATCCAGGATCCATCCTGAACTTTCTGGATAGGACGACCTTCAGGGGCCTCTTGGCCTGTTTCCTTGTTTCTTCAAGGAGGGGCCGTTGCGAGGGTCAAGACCTCAAAGGTGCTGTGAAAAATAAGGGGCGACATCATGTGCGGCTTCTCTGTCTTCTCCTCCATTCTCTCCCTCTCTGGCCCCCTCCACCCCACCCGTCTGCCCAGCTCTCTCTCTCTCTCTCCCTCTCTCTTGGCCACATGCTCCTCTCCCCACGGCCTCGCTGGTCACTCCCCCAGGAGCGAAGAAGCTGTGACAATGATGGTGGTGGACATGGTGGAATAAAAGGAGGTGAGAAGTTAAAGATCTCACAGCATGTTGGGTGTGTTTATGAGTGGGAGGGAGAGAGAGAGAAAGAGAGAGAGAGAGAGAATAGCTCTTCCTGCGCCCCTTCGAGAAGTGGCTGAATGGAACAGCTATTATTACTCACAAGGACCAAAGCACTGGTGATTACTGTAATCACAGCCCATCGCCACAGCCCTTTGTAGAAAAGAGAAAGAGACAGCGTCCACTGAGTGTCTACTTTGCACTGGGACCAGGGCCAGGCGCTCACACATCCATTATGCCTGAGCCTTCGCCGCCAGGGGCAAGGCCCGCGTCCCCCTGACAGCGGAATGAGCAAGGGAGGCCCCCACCTGGCCCCGGGGAGAGAGGGGGTGAGCCTGAGCTGTGGGTGGTGAATCCCTACCCACCCATCCCTACTTCCTGGGGCCTCTGTGTACAGTTGCCATAATTACAAGATTAATGGAGGGGAAATATCTCCCAGGTGGGTAGGCCCTTCCTTCCTGCCTCCCTTCCTTCCCTGCCAGGTGCTCCTGAATCTGCTCTTGAAGCAACCCACCAGGGAGGCAGGCCTGGGGGTTGTGGGGGTTTCCTCCCAGGCGGGCAGTCTGTCGCTTTTAGCCTCCGGGGATCTTCAGCAGCTTCTGGGAGGAGTCCCAGTTTTTATTTTAAAGAATCACCCCGCCCCTCTCCTAGAATCAACGCATCCAAAGGGGTTGAACGACCCTGATTCCTTCAGGAGGCAAAGACTTGACCCAAGTCTGGCCAATAATAGTCATCTGGGCTGGGCACATGACCCGATTTAAGCCAACGAGAGTCAGCTCTGGAATTTTGGTTGGAACCACCTGGAAAGAGAAGCGCTCCACGTGCTGGGCTTGCGAAGTGAGACAGGGTGTATGTAAGCTTGGGACGAGCTGAGCCGCTAGAGGCGGCCTGGAAACAACCAATGAGGGGAAGGCCGGGGGCCTGAAACAGAAGGCGGCTAACCCTCCCCACACGTGGACACCCACGTGCTTTCTTATCACATGGGCAAAAGCATCCTCTCCCCGCTTCTTTTTGGCTTAAGACATTTCAAGATGGGCTGCTGTTCCTTTATATTTTAAAAGGTCCTCCTACTCCCCTAAACCCACTGAGGAAACAAAGAGCTTATC